CTCTTTCTTTTTGCGCAAAAACCCCTTGCACAAAAAGAAACGGCAGAAAATCTGCTAATGATGTTGCAACTTATGCTAATGAATCTCTCCTTAGCATATTTTCTGCCGCAAAAACTTGTAGGTTAGATGTAGCTCTAGTGTTGAATGGGCAAGGAAAGAATAACAATAGGACCTTTATGGAGTTGATTTGGGTTTTTTAAAGTATTTTTTTTCAGTTAACTCTCCATACACCTCAAATGAATGCAGCAGCTAGAATCTAATTAAGTCAATTTATTCTAGACTACAATTAGCATTACCTAATGATGTGGGTTCACATCAGATCTGCTCTCACTTCCATTCTACAAACATAATAAAAGTGTGAATTAACAAACAGACGAAAACACGTGTGTATCAGCTACATTGTCAAAATGCCAGAAACTTAACAGGTGTAGCTTTTCCAGACTTCATATAGCTAAGGGAACATCATCATGCTAAAGTCAGGTAGTCCATGGATGGGGAAATGGGATATGGAAAAGATTTCAAAATATATAATCAAGAATTAAACCTATTATTTATCCACTACCTAAAATGTGTTAGGCACTTAGACAAATAAAATAGACAAGATTCATGTTCTTGTACCTTCCTCCTTGAACTAGAATTCATTTTCTCAAAGTATAATATCATTTTCTTTAGGAAAATAAATTAAACTATTAGTCCAAGAAGATGTAAGCTATTTTGTTCATTATTTGTATTAGGATACCACGTAAAGGCTCCAACAGAGAGCAGGGACTCATAGTGCAAGGTACTGTGCACATGTCCAGTAAGAGCCAATCCCTACCCTGAAAAGCTTAAATAACATGAATCCCATTTTTACAGATAATGAACTATTTGTCACCATTTATTAAATTAAATTAGGAGATTGAATAATACAGAAAAGGTAGCCAACAAAATACCTATATAGATTTACAAGCATTTAAGAGGGTTTAAATACATTTCTCACTTACAAAAGTATCCAGTGTGAAGCTAAGATATAAATGTAAAAAGGCTGTCATTTGCCCCAAAACAGTATCCAGTGTGAAGCTAAGATATAAATGTAGAAAGGCTGTCATTTGCCCCAAAACAGTGATTACTCTGTTCTTGCTTTATGTAATTAAAAAGGAAAATTTACATGCTACTAGAAGTTTGCTATTGCTTTTCCATAGTCTTATGTAAAACAAAGTTCACATACTTGAAAATATTTATGGATTCTATAAGAGTATCTACACTGCACAGCTACAGCTACCCCGCATCTTAATAAGCCGCCTGTTATTTTGAAACATTTTTTGAAATAACGGGTGCTTTATTTCTCTATCCTGGTAACATTTGCTCCACGAGGGTTAAGGGATGTCTTGAAATAGTGCATTATTTCGAAATTTGGCACTATGTAGACATGCCAAATTTCAAAATTGCCTATTTCTACATTCACCTGAAATAAGATAAGCAATTTGTGTAGCACAACTTGCGTATCTTATTTCAATTTTAGAGTGCTGTGTAGACGCACCCTAACAGATTTTAGAGGCTTCAGCTTCATTAGCTCTCATAGGGTATGTCTACACTGCCACCCTAGTTTGAACTAGGGTGGCTAATGTAGGCATTCGAACTTGCAAATGAACCCCGGGATTTAAATATCCCAGGCTTTATTTGCATGTTCCCGGGCGCCACCATTTTTAAATGCCCGTAGTTCGAACTCCCTGCCCGCGGCTACACACGGCATGGACTAGGTAGTTTGAATTAAAGCTCCTAATTCGAACTAACGCTATTCATCCTGCAATGAGGAGTAACAGTAGTTCAAATTAGAACCTTTAATTCGAACTACCTAGTCCATGCTGCGTGTAGCCACGGGCAGGTAGTTTGAACTACAGGGCATTTAAAAATGGCGGCGCCCGGGAACATGCAAATAAAACCCGGGATATTTAAATCCGGGGCTTCATTTGCAAGTTCGAATGCCTACATTAGCCACCCTAGTTGGAACTAGAGTGGCAGTGTAGATATACCCTTAGGGTGTACCGCCTACCAACTTAAAATGACAATTTATGACATACATATAGAGCACAGACTTGGCCTCCCACATTATTGAGATTGTCAGCAATAACTTTTTGGTAATGGATCCAGTTTGAAACTTGGTAATGAGATGAGATGCAAAGCCTTATATGGATAATTCACTGTTTTTAACCTATAAAAAGTGTTATTGGGCACCAGTGTATAATGGATTGATCATAATATGTTGAGCAGCTATCTACAATATGGCTGGCACCCTATGGAACTGAATGGCAATGGAAAACTAAACTACCTGCTTACATCAGATTAATACTGAAGCACGTTTGTAGGTAAGTTTGTGCTGTTTCTGCTAATATACTAGCTAGTTTGAATGTACCACATTGCCTTTTACTTGACTGAATGACAGACATGATCAAGTGTCTGTGACCATCATCATGTAGAAGCAACAGCACTCAAAAAATAGACCCTTTAATACTAAAAGAGTGATTCCTCTTTACTTCAAGGGATATGCGCTTTGGAAGCAGAAAGCCTCTGTGAATTCTGTGGCTAAGTAAATGGCTTCAATTTCCTTTCTATTGATCATGCACCTTCAACTTTCTTCACCACATTGTCTGCTATTTTTAATTAGCCCAATCAAATAGAACACCTACAATTTTGTATTTGTTTTGTATTAATAGGACTGAACATCCTCCATTCAGGGCTAGCTCTAGGTTTTTTTCCTCCCCAAGCAACAATTTTTTTGGCTGCCCCCCCTTCTTTTTGTTGGCTTTGCACATTTGCACTTTGCATTTTTTTGTTTGTTTTCGCTTTTGTCCCGGTATTTAGCCCTATAAATAGCAAATATAATTTTAATTTTTTTTCCATAAAGGCAAAGGCGCTTCAAGTAAACTCCCCCTCCCCTTTCACTCGCTCCCGGATCACAGCAGCCTTTTCCCTGCCCTGTCCAGCCCCTCCCTATGGACAAGCACCCTCACTCCCGACCCACAGAGGGAGCAGTGTGCAGGGACAGCGCAGAGCCAGAGGGGCATGGGGAACAGGGGGAGCAGGGTTCACTGTGGGGAATGGGAGGCGCAGAGCCAGAGGGGCGTGGGGACCAGGGGAAGCAGGGGGACTGGGGAGCTGGAGTGCGCAGAACCAGAGGGGTGCAGGGAACAGTGTGGGGGATGCAGGGCAGGGTGGCACGGGGACAGGCAGGCCCAGAGACTGGGGGGAGTGAGGTGCAGGGGAGGCAGAGGAATAGGATGCGGGGAATGGGAGGGGCAGAGGGATCAGGGTCCAGGGCAGCGTGAGGAATGGGGGACACAGACCCAGAGGGGCGCAGGGAATTGGGGCTGTGGGGTGCAGAGGGGGCGCAAAGCCACAGGGGCACAGGGAACCGGATGCAGGGGCAGCACAGGGAATGGGCAGCGCAGAGCCAGAGGGGCGCAGGGATCAGGGGAGCAGGGTGGGGGGTGCAGGGGAGGCATGGGGATTGGGACGTGGGGAACGGGAGGGGAAGAGGGATTGGGGTCCAGTGGCAGTGTGGGGAATGGGGGCTGCGGGGTGCTGAGAGGGCGCAGAGCCAGAAGGGTGTGGGGCGGGCACAGCGAGCTGGGCGGCCAGCAGGGAGCGGTCTCTCGCCGGCAAAGGGGGCAGGGGCCAAGGCAGGGCTGGAGCCACACGGCGCTCCGCAGCCAGCTCCCGGGGACATGCAGCCAGAGCTGAGCTCCCGCAGCCCTTTAAAATTGGCGGGGTGGGGCCAGGCATTGCCGGGGGCAGCTGCTTACCTGGAAATGCCACCCCTGGAAACGTCCCACCCCAAGCAAGTACTTGATTTGCTGGTGCCTAGAGCTGGCCCTGCCTCCATTATGCTGCATCAGTACCACTGAATAGTTATATAGCGCTTCATGAAACACTTTAAAATAAATCTGCAAA